GAGGAACATCCAAACACTGACGAGAGCACAGCTGAGCAGAGCGCTCAAAGTGTCAAGGAAGAGCGCCAGGTTTCAGTGAACCCAACATGCAGAAAAGAGGAGGAAGAACAACCAAGTGAGCAACAAACTGTGCAACTCCTCAAAGAGGTGAGACTGCAGCTCTGCAAACGTGATCCGTTTTCTACAAACATAAAAAACAAAACATCTGCATCTAAAAGTCAAACTAAAACTTCAAGAAACATAAAAATGTGTTTTGTGCAGCTGCAGCAAACCCAGAGGGAACTGTCTCGGGTCCAACAACTTAACAAGAACCTGCAGAAAGAGCTTCAACAAGAGAGGGAAATTCATTTAGGGAAACTGGTTTTTATGCAGGTAAATTATTTTAAGACATTATGGCAGTGAAATAATAAACATCATTCTGAATTTTACAACCATATTTTTCTTTTTAACATTTTAGCCAAATATATCATCAGATTTTTTAACAAGCTCTAAAAGTAGAACTAAAGAACTTAAATCACAAACCCATTATTAATATTAATTTAATATAGCATTATAGTCATTATTGTCTTTAGAAAAGTGTTTATTCGAGAGATCGCCCCACCACTCACCAATCAGTACTTTTACTTTGAATACTTCAGTACATTTTATATCAGAAAGTAACTTTTGATGCTACAAAAAGTAAGTACAAAAAAATGTCAGATACTTTAAGAATTTTACTCAAGTATTGTCTTAGAGCAGACTTTAACTTTCACCAAAGTAATTCTGCTGATACTTGTACTTTTACTCTAGTATCACTTTGAGGCACTTTATACATTATATCCATACTATATATCTGTACTATATCCATCTCTCACACATCACATGTGCAATGGGTAAAATGCAGAGAATTAATTTCCCCTCTGCGGGACAATTAAGAATAATAAAATCTAAAAAATATCTTATAAAAAGCAACATCAACATTTTCTTTCTCATTTTTAAATTTTGTCCTTTAGAATGTCAGCAGTTCATCTCCAGAACAAGGCTTGACGCTACAGCAAATGCACAAGATAAATCACAACCTCCGCATGGAGCTGGACGCGCTGAAGAGGAGCCAGGAGGAGGCCCGGGAGGCTGAGCTGCTGCGGAGGGTCGACCTCTTAGCTCAACAGGCCCAGCTCCTGGTTACAGGCGACGCCACGGCTCTTTCTCAGATCCAACTGGAGCAGGATCGCCAGCAGTTTCAGGAGCAGAAGCTGCAGCTGGAGCGCTGCGCGGCCTCCTTGAAAGCCCAGCTGGACATAAGTGAGGAGAAGAGAAAAGAGGCTGAGTCCCAGCTGCTGCAGCTGCAGGAGGACCTGCAGGGTCAACACAACCTCCAAGAGGAGGCTGAACAGCTTYGCAGACGTCTCCAAGAGATGTCCGCTCAGCTTTGTGCCTATGAGGACGCCCAGGCTGAGAAAGAGGCTCGCCTGCAGAAGCACCTCATGCTCCTGCAGGCCAGTCAAGAGAGAGAACGAAGGGGTTTGGCTTCCAGCTTGGCTCAGGCTGAGCAACAGTTGAAGGACCTCCAAGACAAACTGAGCAGGGCTGAGCAGCAGCTGGAGACCTTTAACAAGAGTCAGACGCTGAGCAGAGAGATTGAGGACGCCCAGCAGCAGCTGCAGGAGGAGCTGGCCTGCACGGTGTCAGCTGTGCAGCAGCTGCAGGAGGAGAGGGAGCAGCTCCACCAGCACTGCCAGGAGCTGCAGAGCCAGTTATCTGCGGCGGACAGGGAGGTCAGCAGGCTCCAGGACCGCTTGAAAACAGAAGAAACGCACTACTACAATCTGGAGCACTCGTATGAGAGAGCCTGTGAGGAGCTGCAGGTGGCGCTAGGAAAGGTGCAGCAACGAGAGTTTGAAACGCAGGACATGCGAGAAGGCTATGAAAGGCTCCTGGACAGGAAGGAGCAAGAGCTGAGCGAAGTTCTGCTAAAGATGGAGGTTTTGGGTAACAGTCTGGAGGAGACGGAGGTGAAGCTGAATGCACTGATGAAAGTTTGCACCTGTTCGTCATCTCAGCTGAGGGGCGAGTCTTCGGAGCCCGTTGAGCACAGAAATAAGCAACAACAAAYGCCCGAGTATTTCACTGTCAGCGAAAGCAGGACGAGCAGTTCCCAGATGTCTGAGGATGTCCAGGTAACCTGCAGAGATCCTCATCAACTCGCAAGAACCCGCTCTCACTCAGCGGATGCATCGCTCCAGTGTTTTACCGACGCAGGAGACGACCCAGAGAAGTTTGTCTCGATGATCCAGCTACTCGAAACAAAGCTATTCGTAACAGAGGAGAAACTGAGGGACCTGACACACAGACTTGAGGAACACCAGAGTCACGTCGGCTGCCAGGATCCCCACCTGTCCTCGGAGCTGACCCAGAGCAGAGCGACCGCCCAGCACCTCAGTCTGCTGCTGCACAGTCAGGCCAAGCAGAGCCAACGCTTCGCCCAGGAGACGGAGAACCGCTGCAGGATGCTGGTGGGCAGGTTTCAGGTGGCTCTGAACATCGTTCAGGCCTGCAGGGAACGGCTTCAAGCCACTCCGGTTAACATCCCAGACATCGAGAGGCAACTCGCCCGAGCTGTCGGCTGCCTTCAGCAGGGGGAGAAGGATGCAGGGAGAGTCCAGCACGACTCGCATCACCTGTTTAAGGAAGAGGGTAAGATCCTTGGCGACGACAAACTAGCTGGAGCAGAGAGCGACTTCGTCTCTAAGCTCACCAACGGGCGACCCTCGGATAATATGTCAAGCGTGGAGAAGCACTTGATCAGGGAACTATTTGTGACGGAGAAAATGGTGTCCGTGCTTCAGAACCAGAAYGGTATCTTTGAATTATCTGCTGTTAAAAACAACAGAGAAAACGTTGCGCTCATTTACAAAAACCTGACCTCMCAAAGGATCAGCTTTAAAGCAGAGGGAAGGGTGGCGACGGGGAACGCGGGGTGTGACAGCGGTGAGCTTTTAGAGAGCGTTATTGGAAGATTCTGCGCCGAAGCTGAGCTCATCTATGCTGCTTTAAAACTTCAGCAGCAGTGTGAAAGTGTGGCTCAGGCGAATGGTTACGAAGTGGATCAGCAAAGGGAAGCTCTTGCAGACATCAGCCCCTCTGAGCTGACCCCTTATGATGAGGTGGATGGTAGACGTTCAGGCGAAGCTGCRACGCTGGTGGAAAAAGAGCATTCTGACTCCAGAAAGCTGGAGGTGGAGAAAGAAAAAAGCTCGCTGGAGAAGCTGGTTTCTCGGCTGCAGAGAAGAGCTAAATTCTTGTCTCACATCTGCCAGGAGCTTACTGAAGGCGGTGTGGACCACAGTGTGGGTGACRCTTCTTCAACTGATTTAAATTTCTTTCAGGAGCAGGTGAAGTTGATTTATCTGTCCRACAGGCTTTACTTGGATTTGGAACAAGAGTTTCAGCTGTCCAGGTTGTCACAGAACAACCTGCAGGCTCTTCGCAAAGAGCGCGAGGAGCAGGAGATGTTAAGTCACGCTTTGAATCAGCTTCAGGAGGACAACAGCTCGTTGAGAGAAGAGCTAGAGCAGGCTGAGCAAAAGATTGTGTCTGTGGAGACGGGGAACCAAAGAATCCTGGAAGAYATGCAGAAAATCGAGGATCATCAGAAGGAACAGATGCAAAAAGTGGAAACCGAGTTTCACGAGAAGATAAAGGAGCTGCAGCAGATCCACGAGGAGGAGATGAAACAGCTGCATGAATGCTACTCCAAGTCTTGTGTTTCCAAAGACAGACAGATCAAACCCTGCAKTGAAGCAAACCCTTTGGAGGAAGACATCTCATCTTCATCGGACCAGGCTGCAGAAGAGAGAAAAACACAGGAGATCCAGCTGGTGGAAGTTGATGCAGCTGCAGTGAGAGAGGCATACCTGAAAGATCTTGAAAAACTTCAGGTAAAGCAGTATTTAGTGCATCTTTTTCAAAATAAATGTAATCTCCTCAGTAGTTTATATTCTTCTGTAATTAGTTAAAAATAGTCTTAAAAAAAGCTAAGGAAAATATTTTTGTAAATCTTTCAAAGGAGATGATGTTTGCATGTATTTTTCCAGGGATATTCAACTGGCAGCCCATGGGCCAGATGTGGCCAGAAGGTGAATTTTGTCTGGCCCGCCAAACAAAATTAGATTTTTTAAAAATTTTAATTTAATATAAGATCCGATTTTAAATTAATTTAAAATGTATGCTTCATTGCAACAAAATAGTGTTTCCACTACCATCACCAGCAACACCGGCCCCCAGAGGTCAGGCCCCTATGGCCCCCTGAGCAGTTTTCTTGAATAGCCCTGTATTATTATTTACTTTTACTTGACTATTTAAATGCTTTTATTAGATTGTCTTGTTTAATTTTAACTATTTAATATCCTAAAAACTAGCCTGGCCCTTGCGTTCCTACGCAGTTCCACTCAATTTTAGTTTCCTTTCACTGCTCCGTCTGGCATTTCTCCCATAGACGACGATTTTGCTGGCAGCTTTTTAGCCGAACCAATCAGAGAACAGAACGTCGATTTTCTGCGTATGTAGTTTATTTTACCTGGGCCAATCAACAAACAGAAGGAGGAGCTTTGAACGACGTCGATTTTCTGTGCAGTGTCTGCTAGTTGGTTAGCATATGGCAGTGGAGGAAGTGCATGAAGCCAGTYTGTGTTGATAAGGCTTCAAATTAAATTAAATTAAATTTGTCTGACAAAGCAGCAGCTCTCATTTACAGCCGTCTCGTTCAGCTCGGTACTTCTCTCCTCTCAGCAGGGTTGTTTACAGCGCACGCGATTTCTGGTTAGCTTCTTAGCTTAGCCTCCTTCACACCGACAACACAAACACACACACACACACACACACACACACA